AATTTGTGCAGAAAGAACTGAAAATACCAAAGTCACTTTCCAGCAAGGAGGATTCAATCAAATGGTTCAAAAAGATAACCGCTTATGGAGTTTCAAACATTCTCTATCTGCGTCAGTTTTTTGATGAAAGCGCTTTTGTCACTGTTTCATTTGAAACACACAAGTTGCGCCTCCTCTCAAGAAAGAGCGGAAATGCCAGTGTGCTCAAGATTATTGACAATTTGGAAGGTATAGCTACAAGGAATCATCCAATTCATTAACAAAGTTCCTTCCTACAGATTCCTTCAAAATGCTTGAGCAAAACAAACTAAAGTCAATTACAATGGGAATCTTTGAAAAGATAGAGGAGGGTTTTTGTCAGAATGCCGTCGAAGTAGTCACGTTTGATTTTGAAAACTCATCTCTTCAACTTGATGGATCAAACTTTAAAAAGGAATACACCANACCATTTCCAAAAGGCTCGTACTATGTTTTGTTCAAATTGCAGCACTTGGAAAATTTTGATCCGAAAACAGAAGGCATTCGCAACTTTACTCCAATCACTGAATCGCAATTTGAAGGAGCAAACTTTTTCATCGAGGATGAAACCGAAAGCGCCAACTTTAATGCAGGAAGCGTCAGCTCCAACTTTCACAAAGTGAGCATCAACTTTAAGGCTGAAATAGCAAACGTGGATAAAAGCAAATTGCTCAACGACAGCTCTGATGAGAATATCGAAAATGAGAATCCTCACGAAAATTCACAGGGTAAAGGAAAGCGCAAAATTGACACCAAGGCTGAGCCTATCAAAAAACGACGCGAGATCTAAACTTTTTTTGATAAACAATTATTACTTTAACTGTCACATTTTTCTAACCTGTTCACCACATTACCGTCACAGATTACAACTTATTATACAAGTCTGACGATAAATAAATCTTTATCCACTGTTTTTTCAAAAACTCTGCTTACAGCGCCACTCACGTGTCTCAACACCACCATCAACAACAACAGCTGATCAGCTGTTTGAGTGTGTTTGCCGATTGAAGCTCAAACTGTTTGTCAATCCAACTTCCAACTCCTCACCGAATCATGCCCCTGGTTGTCTTCTGCGGAACTCCCCTCAGTGGCAAGTCCTACCGTGCTAGGCAGCTGTATGACCACCTCAGTCAACTGCCTGAATGCGGCAAATGCGTCCTCGTGTCGGATGAAGAGAAGCTGGCCAGTCAGGGACCAAACAACATCTATCGGAGCTCAGCGGCGGAGAAGGAGCTTCGGGCGTGGCTCAAATCCGAGGTGCAGCGAAGTCTCAGCTCACCAGACACCGTAGTGCTTCTTGATGCGGCCAACTACATTAAGGGCTATCGCTATGAGCTGCACTGCCTGAGCAAGCAGTTCAGAACGACACACCTCGTGGTGGAGTGCCAAGATGCACCTGAAGCGGTGGTCGAGAGACATCTGCAAGAGAGCGGAACCGAGGGTGATGAAACGGCCAGAAGGCGCAAGTACTCTCGTGAGATTTACATCGAGCTAATGCAACGCTTCGAGCAGCCTGACGCCAACAATCGCTGGGACTCGCCGCTTTTTAAAGTGCCGTACCAAGAGGGTGGCCTGCCGCTGGAAGCAATCAAGGACGCCATTCTAAAGCGAGTCGCACTAAAGGCAAATCTGAGCACCCAGTCGCAGCCGACCACGACGGACAACTTTCTCTACGAGCTGGACTGCCAAACGCAGGAGATCATCAGACAGATTCAGGTGGCACTGCAGAGCAATCAACTTCGAGCCATCAAGATTGCCGGCAGTGAGGTGCAGGTCAACTTGATCCGCAAGGTGCCCATCGCCGAGCTGAACCGGCTTCGCCGGCAGTTCATCAACTACACCCGAACGCATCCATTTGGCGGAAAGGACAGCATTGTCAGTGCCTTTGTGCAGTTCATCAACAAGAGCGCCTCGTAGCTAATAAATTTATTTGTTTTTCCTACGTTTACAACAGTCCTATGAACTTTGTGATTGCTTTTCCAGTTGTTTAAAGTATTCAGCGTCCAGCAGATCTGCCAAGTGAAACTGCTCATTGTGCATTGCGTCCAGCGAGTTGTACGCGACGAGCATGAGTTTTTTAAATTCTACACCATTGATGTTCTTGCAAATGTTTAGATTCCGCTCAAGTGGGTTCTCAATGTAAATTGGAGAAAAGTCCGGCTTGGAAATGGTCTTTGCTTGGAGAATTGACAGTGCTGCAAATGCCAACGTAGAGAATTAGTGTTCATGATAATATAATGTAAATCAATTACCTTCTTTTTCAAAGTTGAAAGAAATGAGAAATTCAAAAAATTCATAAAGAAGTCTATGTAAATGCGGCAGTGATACATTAGATGCTGGCGCCTGACCGTCATACGTCTCCATTGACTGCAGAATATTCTTGCTTTGTAGAAAGAATATGGCTAGCGTAATCACCTGAAAGTTGGTGAACCAGTTGCCGGCCATTGATCTGACCACACCTGCACAAAATACAGTCGGTAAGTAAAAAACAAAACTCCAATGCTCTCTTTCAGTGCTTACCGTGTTGTCTGGCCCAAGTTTTGAGAATTACAAAAAACTGCTTTACTAGAGGATCCACAGAAAGGCTGTAGGAAATGTATCTAGCCATCATAAAGCCATGGTGACCGGCCTCTTGTGAAAGCTCAATTGAAATGTCCATGTCAATGGGCGCCAGATCGAAAGTCGTCCTGACGATCGGCACTCGGGCGCGGAGGATTCGATTAATCTGCGAAAAGTTTGGCAAAAAGTGGCGCATAATGTCGGCAATTATGCAGAGCGACTGCTGCGTCTGGTCACGGTCTGACTTGACTTCGGGCATGGAAAAGTTGAGCCCCTTCAGGTGCTGCAGGTTACCGTGAAGCATGCAAATGTCGAGGTCACTGGTCGAGTCACCCAGTCCGGCAAGTGAGGAGCCAAACGGGTAAATGTGAAACCCGGAAAAGATGCCCTGACATAGAATGTCTTCAATCTGAGTAATCAAAAAGTATCGCAGTTGAATGTCCAGCTCAGTTAGCGAGTTACTCGTCGTGAGGTACTCGATCATCTGAGCTGATGTGTACTTCTTCTTGAGCTCAGAGACGAGGAGCGGCCGCTTGGCTTGGCTAGACACAAATTCGTAGAACCTTTCATGAGACGGTGTTGTGGGCTTTTCAGATGGCAAATCAAAGGATGCTTCAATCATTCGAGTTTTCACCGGAAAGGAATGCAAGTTGAAGCCACACTTCTCTTTCAACTGAGCAACATCTTCCACCGAGTTCAGTTGCAGTAGGAAAAACGATCTCCGGTGGTAGGACCATGTCCAAAATTTGTCAATATTTGCATCTAGCTTATCGCTGAGAAACTCCTTGTCAACATTTCCAATCTTTGCCTTAATATCAGGCTGGTGATGAAGGTTCTCCAGCAGCACCAGCCGGCGAGCATTCTCCTTGTTTTCATTGACGCTTTCGCGATAGTTGAAAGTTGATTGATGACGGGTAGAACATGGTGAAGATGGTGATAAGGGCCACCGATTTCTTCTCAACAACAATGTCACTGACCTCATCATTTACCTGAACAAAAATCACTAAAAGACAAACAAACAACCAATTTTTGAAAAGTTCATCAGAAAAATCACATGGTATTGCCCATTTTAACTGCAAGTGCTTGTTTTGATGGCAAAATAGCGCCCACGTTTTTCAAAATCTGAGAATAACATCGATAAGCTGATTCTGAACTGTCAGAAGTAGATCACCTCAATAGCTTTGTTTTTAAATAAATCTTTAAAATGTGCGATTTAAAAAATACCTCTGTATTATCATATCTACTCCTAGTTGGCCAATTGATACCTTATCACTATCAGTTTCCACCTTAATCAAAAAGTGGTGTCAGATGACTGGTAGGTCTGCAGGTAACAGCAATATACTCCCGATGTCACAATGATCATTGCGGAACAAATTTTTTAGTTGAACTCAACGCGTGTCAGTGATCAGATTGAAATTTATGGTGTGCCTGTTCGCCTGTACCCATGCGGACATAGACATGGGCGATATCGATTGCGGTGTGTTCACCAAGCAATGTGTTCACATTTGGCAGCTGACACTTTTGCGGTCAAATAGAGTGCTCGTTCGGCGGATCGTAAAATTGGCTGGAGTTCGACTGTTCTAATTCAGTACCCTTAATGCCTAAATACCTATATATGAAGAATATCAGCAGCTATGACAGCAGTCGACTATCATCGACGCTCTTCATGATCACTGCCACCGTCACCAGCAGCCACTTGTCTTTGTTTGGCCTCTCACTCACTTTCACTTGTCGCAATTCACGTCAAAGCAGCAGCATCAGCAGCAGCAGTATTGATATCTTATCAAATCGAATGACTTTCCTCACCACCCAGTAAGCCAGACTTACTTACGAGGGATAGAGAGCGCGCGCGACAGTCGCTGTTCTCCACGAAACCAGCTTAGTAGTGAAGCTGTGTCAGTGTCATCTGGTTGGCCGACTGCTCTTTTGGCCATTGCTCAGCGACCAGGCAGACGGAGATTGAAAACGTTAAAGGGTGGCATTCTTTGCATACTTTGCCGACTGCTTGTCAACATAGGTTCAGTAACCAGTTAGCTTTTTATATGCAAGCCTAAAGTCGGCTGCCAGTCGCACTCGTTTTTACACTTCAAGCTTTTTTCTCCTTTACCGAATCGGACCACCTCATCTCTTCATTCACAGTGACAATGAATCCGAATTCGGACGAGTACGACTGCTGCAAGCAACGGTCACTACTCTATCGGTTGGTTCGAAAGGCAGGAATGCTAGTGGTCATTTCCATTGTCGCTTTCCTCTACTTCATCACCTGTCTCCTCATCAACTTTGCGCAACTGGTCAACTTCCTCCTCTTCCAGTACACCTTTCCCAGTCTTCGTCGGCACATCAACTGGTACCTCCAAGAGCTGATTCTATCGCGTAAGTTCAAGTGTCAATTTTTTTAACTTTTTCACCTGTTGTGTCAGTCGAATTTCACCTTACCTGTGATCTGACTTGTGAAAACACACACAGAAAACACCATTCTCCTCGAATGGAACTGCAAGATTCGCTTTCGGCTGTTCTTCGCCGACGAGGAGACAAAGGCGAAATGGGGAAAGGAGCACAGTCTGGTCATCGGCAATCACCACTTTCAGCTGGATGGCCTCTTTTACTGGATGACCGGCGAGATGACCAACAGCCTGGGCGCCTCGAAAGCTTATGCCAAGAGTGAACTGCTCTACATGCCCATTATCGGCTGGGTCTTTTACTTTGGCGAGTTTATCTTTCTGAAGCGCGACTGGCGCAACGACGCCAAGAGCATTGGCCCCTCGCTGGACACACTGATGAAGTCGCCCTACCCCATGCTGCTGCTCATCCTCCCTGAAGGCACCCGATTTACACCGGAAAAGTATGCCGCCGGAATGGCGTACGCCAAGGAGCACGGCCTCGACGTCAAATTGAAACATCATCTTCTTCCTCGTGTGAAAGGATTTGCCAACTCTCTACGCCATCTCCAGTCCAACTGTAAGTGCACACTCATTTTTCTTAAAAGACAATTGACAGTTTCACTTTTTAATCACTTTCTTCGCACTTCATTATCACCAGACAAGGGTAGCTTTGGCCTGTACCACATTCAAGTCCTGTCACGTTCCACCGAAGGGGCAGGCGCCTTTGAGCCGACGCTCACCAACTTCTTTGCCGGCAAGCCGATGAAGGTGGACTGCTACATTGAGCGAATTAGTAATGAGAAGCTGCCGGCTGCCGAAGCAAGCGACGAGGAGCAGGCCAAGTTTCTCTACGATGCCTTCGAGCACAAGGTAAATGTACCTCGGTGTCGGGTGTGTGCGTCTCTGTGTATTATGTTTCGTTCATCTGTTTTTTTGTCATGTGTGATGTATTGCCTTTAATCTCACAGCTACTGTTCTTTTTGCCCCTTTCTAATGAACACAGGATAAGCTAATTGAAAGCCATCGAGAGCATCATCGCTTTCCAACGTCGTTAATGACAGTGAAGAAGCGAAGTATGTGGCTGTTTGCTCGCTTTCTCCTCCTCAACTTCCTCCTAAGTGGATCAATTGTCTTCAGTCTGCTCTACACCGCCTTCACCACCAGCAGCTTTCCGCTGCGCTGCACCATATTCGGGCTCATCATTCTCGGTATGTGTCTCCATCACCCTGACCAGACGCCGTCCACGTGATCATCCCTCTTTCTAAGCCGTTTTTCTTTTATTTACCATTACCATAGTTTATGCGGGAATTTTCCTCATTATCAACCTTCTACAAAACTCGCAATACGGCGCCAAGAAGAGCAACAAAGCAGGGGGAAAGCAGAGCATGAAAAATAATGGAACCACCACTACTGCTACAAAGAATGGAGGCTTCGCAAAGGACAATTAATCAACTTGTCTCTCAACCACAACAGCGGCCACCCAAAAGTACCCAGCAGCACCACTTTTTTCTTATTACTTTCTTACCTTCTTTTAACTGTTTTATTTACTCAAATGCATTTCCATGGGTCAGTGCTGTTGCAAACACTGCCTGGCCACTCAAATCTCTCATTTTAATTGGCTTTGCACTTGGCGACGTTAATTGCCACCGCTGCGCAATCACCAACCCCCACCAATTGACATGTCGCAGATGATGATGATGATGATAATTATTATTGTTGTCTTCGATGGCCACAAAACGCTTCACCATTGGCATCAGTGAAGTTAGTGCAGCTCAATCAGTGCTACCTCGGGAACAAAAGCAGCACATCTGTTCACTTCAGTGCCGGTGCCTCTGCTGCTGCTGCCGCCGCCGAAAACATTCTGTACAGGCTTCTAGATAGTGCGCAAGCTGTGTACAGTCACGCACAGCAAGGCCAACGCTGTGGAAAGGAAAAGTAAAACCCCGAAAGAGGTAACAACTGAAGGTAGTCGGAGAGGGAGAGGCACTAAGTGAAAGTAAGAAAGAGGAGGAGGAAAAGAGGTGGCTGCTGTTTACGGAGACTGCCACCACTGCAAACCAGACCTTTGCTCGTGGAGGTGGTGGCAGTGTCCGCTGGTCATCATCACCACCAGTACTGGTGATCAGATCACCTCAGGTGCCGGCAACCGTTGTTCAGCCACTTACATTCGTTTCCATTTGCATTCGTCATCAGTGTTGCCTCTTTCCAGTCAGGTCTGGTGACAGTGCCCCGACGTCGACGTCGTCGTCGTCGAACATCTTTTCCACATTGTTGGCAGTAGTGCAATCGCAGCAGCAGCAGCAACAACAACAACACCGCCGACAAATAGTTCTGCGAAGTGGAGAAGGAACCTCATTAATCTTCATTTAATTCAGTGTAGTCACACTTCTGCTCTGTGCTCCAGAGTTTGGCGAACTGCTGACCACCACTGCTCTAAAGACTGCCCTGCACTCAGTTTCAGTTTCCACTGGACTCTCTTCGATGGTAGTGATGCAACACCGGTCGCTGCTGCTGTCCCGAGAGAGGAGATCAGAGTCTTAAAGACACACCAGTCAGTCAGACCATGTCAGACATTGCCCTCAGTGAACGGCACTGGCTGTCCAGCAATGCTTGCTGTCCCCAGCTGCGCCCAACATCACCACCACTATGCCCATCCATTCATTCACTTCTAAAAGTGGTCTTCGTGGCACTGGTCATCTTTACGCCCAACACAATTTTCACCGCAGTCAGCGGCGGCAACAGTCAAGACCAGCCCATCAGCTCCTTCAACTCCTCCGTCCTCTCGGCGTCCATTAAAATTGTGCGTGACATTCGCCTGCACCACCATCGGACTGGTGGCGGTGGTGGAGATGGCGGCGTCGGAGGCGATGCAAACACCTCAGCCCTGAGTTCCGTTCAGAAGTACGAGGGGCACATCTACCGGTGTCTCTCCAAGATTACCGCCCACATGGAGCAGTGTGTTCAACAGGTAAGCGCCTGCCTTCCTTCTGGCAACATTCTGTCCCAACTCATTCCTGACACACCCCTTTCTCTCTCATCAGTTCAACGAGTCCTTTGAGGAGCACTACGGGTGGAGCAGCAGCTCTGACGCCGCCAGCGAGTCTCAGTCCGAGGAGAAGGTGCGTCGGTACTGCTGCATGCAGAACGACTTCAAGGACTGCTGGACGCGGGGCATTCGCCAGGGCTGCTCCACCGAGGAGGCTCGCCCCTCCAAGTGGCTGCCCCTGCAGATGCTCACCGACCTGCGCACCGATGACCGCTGCAAGAGCTACGTCCTCTACCCGCACAAGTGCCGCGAGAACATCTTCTCCCTCTGGCAGATCCTCGCCTTCCTCCTCCTCATGCCCTTCATCGCCTTCTCCGCCATTCTCTTCACCATCGTCGGCTGCAACCCGGAGGTCTACAACACCTACCGGTCGCTCAATGCCCTCAGGGCCGGCCGAGAGCTCGAGGTGTAGACAATACCCGACCAGAGCTTACATTTACTACAAAAAGGTTATATTAAGTTATATCAACTCAATCTAAAGAAATTACACTACACTGTAAATACCCTAACATTATATCGTTTGTTACATCATAGTTATGGTTGAGAAATGTTGTTGTTGTTGTTGCTGTTAACACGACTTACCTATTCGGGGTAGAACCAGTCCATATCTGCGGGAGACTTGGACCAAGTGCCCAAGCCTGATTCACTCAGGGAGGAGAAAAAGGCGGTTTTCGCCTGCAGGTAGTACGATGAAGAGTTTTTCAAAAACTCGTAGGTCTGCTTGTAAGGGACTTGCAAAGTATTGGCGTTCGGATCATCACTACTGCTGGTAGGTACTTCGTTCGCTTTATAGGGGATAATGCTGGGAATGTTGCTGTGGCTGTTGATTAGCTGGTTGAACCGCGAAACCAGCGCAAGTTTACACAGTCGTGAGGGTTTTTTGCTGTTGAAAAAGTTGACGCCATTTTCCGTCTTTAGCATTTCAATCTCCCCTGAAGCTCCTTCCCGAAGCGAATAATACCAGTTGTGGGCGTACGGGTAGTTTGTTTGCTGTCAATGGTTATCATGTTAGTCATTTAACAATGAATTACAAAACCAAAAACAGTTTCTTACCGAAAGTTCCTTGGTCTGATTTCCAGTGCGATTGAAAAAACCGACTTTGTGTTGGTTGACGCGATGCAGAGAGTTGTTCTGCAGCTTTGGCTCAATAACGGCTTTGATGATGCGCCCATGTAGAGCCCGGAGAAGATTCGTCGGTCGGAACAGCCGTGAGACGACCAGGCTTTCAATGTAAATTGGCTCCAAAAAGTAACTTAGGAGTGCTCCCTGTACATTCGTCAAAAAATAGGTGTTTAGAGAATACATAGTAGCGTGTTAAAAAAGTTACCTGAACGCCAGCCACATTCCACATGGTAATCTTATCAGAACACGACATGATGGTGACGCGCTGCTGTGAAGCCAGAATAGCATCCCAAGTTTGCACGTAGTTCTCCGGCATAGGAATGGCTCCCTGGCCTTTCTCCACCTTTACGCGCAGCAGTCCTTTTGCATAGTGGTTGCGGTTATTTTTATCCTAAAGGACCAAATAAAATTATTGTCAATCAATGCACCCGACTACCACTGATCGCTTACCGAGGCGTTAAAGTTAAATACCCGAGCATCTCCGCAAGGCGGAGAAGTAATGTACAGGTGCAACTTTAAGTGCGGTTTCAGGCAGAAGCCATTTCCATCTTCTCGCCGCTGCAAGATAAACTCTGGTTTATCTAAAAAGAAGGGGATTAGTTTCCAGTTCAGTGAATACCTTTTGCCTTAATCGACTTGGAGCCTACCTTGAAGTTGATTATCGAGCAGTGCCTGCAATTGCTCGTACAGCGCACACATCAGCGATCTTCGTGCGAGCACTTCGGCGTGGCTGTCCAGGACGACATCGCCGTGCAGTGACAAGTTCTCACTGCTAATCATCTTTGTCCCAGTGGCCAGACTGAGAACTTGAACGCTCTGGTCAAGGTCAGAGACCAGGACAAAGCTGGCCAACTCCTTGTACGGCCACAGTTCTTGTGGGTTAAAGTGAGACGTTTCAGTTGGGGGCGCATCACTGGCAATCAGTTGCTCTATACTGGCAGGTGAAAATACACTCGACTTTTCCATTACCGCGTGGTAAATAGCTCTGGAAATGTTGCGATCAAGAATTTGTGCAGAAGAAACTTCTTGAAACACTTTTGCGTCAATCTGTTCATCATTTACACCCTCCGGTTCAGTGCTCTTCAAAGAAGATCCATTTTCTGATTTAACTTCACCAGAATCAAATGAATCAGTTTCGTGAGTCAAGTCAATGTTTAGTGAAATGTTATTTTGAACATGACTTATTTTTGAAATTTTACTCTTTTTGTTATTTTTAGGTGGAGCATGTTCCTGAACATTGATCATTCGCTTCCTTGATTCTCCCAGACCGGACAATTCGTATTGTTTTTGTAGCTGGTAGAGAAACCCAACGGCCAGTTTGGCAGCATACTGTTTTGAATCTTGCTTCGATTTAGCTCTGCCCAGAAATGACCCCACTTTTGCCAAGAAAACACATGTGATGTGCAATGGTTCATGAGAGGGCCCGAAGGAGCCCTTGTCGACAATCTTGACATTTGATGCGCCGGCTGCACCGGGATATAATTCGTTCAGTACTTGAATAGGTGACTTTCCAGGTTTAGCAATTACTGAAAAAATGTAAATTATTATTACAAAATATAAAACAATTAATCAAGTCATTAACGAACCTGCTTTGAAACGGTCAACGAGAAATACCACTTCGGTCTCAGTCATTGAAAACTCAAGCGCAACGTCTTCATTGTTACACCTCTGCATGGCTATATCATGGTTATGAATAAATTGCCGCTTAAAAGCGGTAAATTGGTCTTCGGAGTTCTTTCGAGCTTCGTCTATAAACGTGTTGAGATCGAAATCATGCAGTCCCAGAGTATCTGATGGTACTTCAGTCACTGGTTGTTGTTGTTGTTGTTGTTGTTGTTGTTCAACAATGACACTCGTTTCAGTGACCATTGCTTCAGGTTGTTGTTGAAGTTGTTGTTCTGGTAGCACCGGAGTGTCAAAGATCATTTTCTGACCCACAGGCGGAACCGGCTGGGGAACTGCATCCGTTTCAGGCGGAACTTCTGAAAGTACTCCATTTTGCGTCTCTTCGTCACCAGAATCAGGCTCAGGCTTGCCCATAGGTGTAGGCGGACCTTTGGCTGCAATAGCCTCTAGCTCGCCGGCCAGTCCTGTTTCCATGAGGTTGATTTTTGAAAAACGTCAAGAAGAAATTCGAAAGCAACCACAACGGGGTGTAGAAACTTGAGAGTGATGAATTTTAATTCGCCGAGCCCCAACAAACATTAATTTTCTAACAAAAAAGTGACTGTCGCAGAAGACGTACCACTGGGTTTTGACAATCGATCCGACCCTTTAATCTGTCCGCCTGATTCTGTTGTCCGGTGATAAAGTCCGATGAAGCACTTTTCACTCTATTTGGCTTGCCAAAAGATTGAAGAAAAAAGCTAAAAAAGCTTGAGTAGAACGAAGTAGCTGTAACAAAAACAATGTTCAGTTGGCAGCATATTGTGATCGCCACTAGCTTGTTGATCGGAGCTTGCTACCCGAACACAATCTCAATACTCAAAGTACCTCGGCTCGCTGTTGATCACCAACTCTGCTGGCTTCGTTCACTGTCATCAGAAGAGGAGGGCATTCTCCGGGATTCATGTCGCAAAACGAACCTCGATGAGCACGCACTTGAAATCGATTATCCGGGTGAGGTTTGTCGTTCTGTGTAGCTGCACTCATTTTCTAATGATATGTAATTGTTTCACCAGCTGAATGGCCGCAAGTAAAGGCAAGGCTATGTCATCTACTGGTGGAAGAGAGGCCAGAAAGAGAAAGGTATCCTTGTTGGGGCTATGAGGCGGATGCCAGTGAGCACTGTCTTCTCTACCGGCCCCAGTGTCCACAGAGAGCAGAGTCCTGGGCGCCCAATAAGATTGAGCAGCTGAAGATGTTCTTCGAGTCGGCCGACTTTGGCTACGTCAGAGAACGGCGATCAGAGCTGGAGCACTACTGTCACCCTGTGGAAGACTCATCATCAAGCTCATCAGAGCTCAAGTGCACCCGTTTCCTGCGATACTGCACCGGCAGAAATCTCTACCTCGATCTACGACGGCTGGATCGTGTTCCGGAGCCAATTAGATATCGAGAGGATGTACTTCAGCAGGGCGACATTGGCGGCTGGGGATGCTCACTTGACCGGGCCAAGCTGGCAAGTCAGGGTGACCACAAGAGCCCACTGATGTCTTGGTTTGCAGAGATTGCCAACTTCCAAGTGGCGAATGCTTCCAGCGTGCACTGTGATGTCATCCTTGATAAGCCCACTTTTATAATGAAACTCGACGCGACCATCAACATGTACCATCACTTTTGCGACTTTCTCAACCTCTACATCAGCATGCACCTCTCCAGCGACTTGTCATCATCATCATCATCATCATCATCATCATCGCCCTTTCACCGAGACAATCACATTATCCTCTGGGACAGCATACCGTACCGCAGCAACTTTGCCCCCGTCTGGAGCGCCTTCACGCGCAACCCAATTCGGACGATAAGCAATTTCAGGGGAAAGCGGCTATGCTTTCGCGATGTGACCTTTCCCTTGCTGCCTCGAATGATCTTCGGCATGTACTACAACATGCCACTGGTGCCTGGCTGTCAGCAAAGTGGTCTCTTCCGAGCCTTCAATCGGCATCTCTTAGTGCACCTTAACCTGAGCACCACAGAGGACCTGGTACGGCAGGAGGAGGAGAAGGAGAAGGAAGTGATTCAAGTGACGTTCATCGCCCGCAGCACCAAACACCGAAGGGTGCTCAATCAGAATCAGCTGATAGAGGGACTGAAGGAGGCGGTGGTGGGACGGACATTCAACGGCCATCCCCATCGGGTGCAGATCAGTCTGGTGGACCTGAACCACCGAATGCCCTTTCTCGAGCAAGCCAATCTGACCTCTCGCTCCGACGTGCTCATTGGCATGCACGGCGCCGGTCTGACGCACACCCTCCTCCAGCCCGACTACGGCGTCCTCTTTGAGCTGCACAACTGCCAGGACACGGAGTGCTACCGCGACCTGGGCCGACTGCGGGGCACCCACTACATCACCTGGAGGGATGACAGCAAAATGGAAGTGGTCGAGGTGGTGGAGGATGGGTCAGATGCTGACCGAGCAAAGCTGGGCGCGGCACACGCCAAATTCGTCAACTACCGCTTTGATGTGCAGGAGTTTGTGCAGTTGGCGCTGGAGGCCATTGAGCAGGCGGTCAGGAGAAAGGAGAGCTTCATTGCCGAGTTCAAGTCCAAGTGGTGGTGGGCGGAGGAGGAGAACAAGAGGGCAAGGTCACCAAAAACCGAGCTCTAGCTTAAAAACCCAACCAACTTCTATCTGTGATTGCTTTATAAAACAAAGTTTATATACTTTTTTTCAAATAATAAAAAACAAAAATGACAAGAAGAGGGGGTGGTGGGGAGAAGGTGGCTGTGTAATTCACAACTGTCCTTTCATGGAAACAATTGGGTGTATGTGTGTTGTGGTCGTCTGGTGGAACACCAATCAATAACTGCTGGGAAC